CGATGCCTCAACCCAAAAACTACTATAAATAGCGGACCTATGGCAATTGTAAGGGGAGAGTTTTTTCTGAAATTACCGAACTGTAAACCCTTTATTACGTAACGCGAAAAAGCCCATCACGGCTCTTCACCTCGGTTCACCTCGGACCGGGGCCATTGTTGATTCACTCTTACATGCTTTACGTTAAAAATCACCCCCAATTACTTCCTTAATCATAGATTAAATCGTTGTTAATAATCACATAACAACAAGTGTCTCAACCACCTATGACTTTCTGGTTAATTTGCTTTATCAACCGTCACCTGGTGGGTTTTATTTAAAATTTGTTATGCCGTAAATAGTTTATTTGTTGCTGAGTTGGTATGATCAATCCATGTATGTGAATTTGTGTAACCTTCGATGTGAGCTGGATGTCCTTCGAACGGTCTTCCCCGTCGATGTGAGCTGTATGTCCTTCGATGGTGCCCTTGTGAGGCAATCTTCCTAAGTCCTGATATGGTTGTACCCTTGTGAGGTACATAATCCCCTATGTAAGGCCATGCCATTGAAAGTTGTATGTCCTTCGGTATGCATTCCTATTGTTGAGAGTTGTATGTCCTTCAACGGCTAATAATAGATGTGCACATGAGTGACATTATTGGTGTATTGATTGGAGATGTGACATGTTGAACTGATTTATCATCATGATGTGACCATACCCTTTGTTATATTATGTGGTTATTTATGTGTATAGTGGTAAGCACCACGGTTTCATTTGTGTTTACCCCACCTGCTCTTAATGGATGCAGGTTAGTAAATGCAGGCACGGCGGAGGGATGCGAGTGGTGGTCTGATTAAATATCATTGCTTCCACCTTGTTTTGAAATTGCTATTACTGCTTTTTTTATTTTGAGCATTGGATTATGAAAGAGAGTGTTCTCCCTAGTATTTATGCATTTGAGAAACCCAGTGTTGGGAGATTGATGTTTGATGAACCCGGTTTGGGTGTTGACCTGATTATTGAACCCGTTTTGGGAGTTTCATTTATGATATTGTTGGAAAATGGTTTTTCAATTAATAGCACTGCCAAGTGTTTTGAAATAAATTTTGAAAAATTTATTATTGATTTTCATCAAATAAAAGTGGGGCGCTACGGTAAATATATTTTTGTATTGCTTGTTTCGACTTAAACTATAAGCTCATTATTTAACATTTAAAATCGGGCCTCCTTGAGTGAAATTTCTAGATCTGTCACTGAGTCAGAGGGTATAAATGGCATATCAAAATGATCAACGAGTCACCATAAACCTCTTGGCCTACGTGGCTTTTTTTTTTTTTTTTGGCCAGAACGATATGGGTGATATATATAAAACTCAAATGGGAACAATGTTCCAATTACATGTGGCTAACCTGACTGAAACTAAAAATAAAACTGAGAGATACTCTGACAAGTACCTAGAGCCTCAAACTACCAAACTAAGAAAAGAGAAAGGGACCTTGCTCCTACCCACTGCTGAACAAGCCTAGCTAGGAAGCAAGATCCCTAAACCAAAAATAACAGCTAACACAAACACAACAACCAAAGCAACAACAAAACAAAGAACTCCAAAACCTATCAAACTAAAGAACCAGAAAAACAGAAAGCAGTGAAGCTGACTAAAGAACACTGGAAAACTCCATCCAGTCCTTGAGAGCGGATTTGATGACCATGTGAACTGGCATAAGAGATTGCTGAAAAACCCATAAGTTTCTTGATTTCCATACCCACCATAACAAGTAGGTTGAGAGTTGGATTCTGTCCTCATTAACTTTAGTGAACTTGATTGATCATAGATGTTGCCCGCGTGGCAATTGAAATTGACACTTTTATAAACCTCATTTCATGCTCTGCAATATCTCACATTATTCAAAATCACATTCTACACCTACATCAATAAACCTTCAATATTAATAAATCCTATAAATTTTTCCAATGTGCTCCAACTCCCTCATCAATGTCTCTTTGTTTTTTATTTTAATATTATTTAATGAGGTTTAGAGGAGGTTTGTATTCGGATTTCTGAATGCAACTTTGAAAATGTAAATCTAAAACTTATATACTTTTGTGGTAAAAATTGAAAGGGAAAATTACACTTTACCTACCGAACTATTCGCTTTTTTACACTTTGCCCACCAATCTTTTTCCGGTGACACTTTACCCCCTGAACATGGAAAATTATTGCACATTACGACTTTCGACCATCAGAGCATCAATTTGAAGGGTGAAAACGACCTTGCAGGTTTTAATTTTGGACAAAATCGTCATTCAACATATACAAAACCTGCGATCCTCTTTATAAATTCCCAAATTTAACATTTTGAAGAACAAACTCTAAATCCCCAAATCACATTTCTAGGGCAAAGAAGCTTGTTGCGTGAAGTTGAAAATTGTGAGTAGAATTCGTCCTACACCAACGAAAAAGAGGAGAAAATGTGGAAGCAGACTTCGGAGGTGACTTTGGATGAGTTTTGCGGTTGCGGAAAGAGGACGGTTATGGTGACGTCGTGGACAGACAACAATCCGGGAAGGCGATATGCAACGTGCAAAGGGAGCAAAATCGGACGGGTAAGTTGATTATAACCATTTAAATGTATTTAGTGCTTTTTTTTAAAAAAATTCAATTTGAAAGGCAGGTGGATTGTTCTTGATAATTTGAATTTACATTTGTTTGATTTGTTGAATAAGGGTTGCAAGCATTTTGTGTGGATCGACCCTCCAATGTGTACAGCGCGGCAAATTATACCTGGACTTTTGAGACGCATTAATCTGACTGAAGATGAATTGACAAGCAAGAAAAAAAAGGTGAAGATGTTGTGGTGTGTTTTGGTTATTTCATGGATCATGATGTTTTTCCTCCTTAAGAAGTAAGAATATTTAGCAGGTTCCGTTAAGTTCTTGTTTTGGGTGAAGTTGCTATGGTGTTAGACTTCTTATCTTTTTTTTGAGGTGGAGTTATTGTGGTATGGGTGAGTTGTGAAGTGAACTATCAAGTGGTTTATGTAAGACTTATTCAAATGGTTTGTGTAATCAATGTGTATGGATTTTGTATTGTAAGGCTTCTTCAAATGGTTCATGCTATGAATGTGTTTGGATTTGGTGCTGTAAGGGTTCTTCAAATGGTGATTGTAGTGAATGTGATTGAATTTTGGTGTTGTAAGACTCATTTAAATGGTTTGTGTAATGAATGTTCTTGGATTATTTGAGGGAAACTTACATATGTGTATGCAATGATTGAACTTGATTTGTTTGAACTTGTTTTGTGTAATGATTTACAACATTCACAAACATCACCTGCATGAACTTTCCCAAACAAAAAGTACCCAAAACCTATACAAAGTTCATCACACCTATTCAAAAAAATCATCACAAGACCATATGTCCATATCACATACCAAAGGTATCATCACAAACATCTGTCAATATCATAATAGAAACATCACAAACAAACATAATAAATTCCAAAGTGTCATTAATGAACTTTGTAGACCATCACAAATGCCATTAAGAATATAAAAATGCCACCGTATCAAAACCAAAATATCACCATTAAGTCATCATAACAATCACAAAACATCAGAAAGTATCAAGACCAAAACATCAGTATTACCATAAGTGTCATAACAATCAACAAAGTTTGGAAGTTAACACCAATGATACATAGGACTATTTCTACTACATTGGTCTGCAATTTTGGGTCATGCTACGTCTGGTCAATCTTTTTGGTGGAGCTTCTTTAGTTGGTACTTGATTTGCACTAGTCTGGCTTGAGGTGACAGTTGGCTTGGTTGTGGAGAATCTCACATTACTAAACATGTTGCTGCTTCGTGGGTTTACACCTATTGGCTGAGTGAAGGCCTTAGGTTTTCCACAAGTGGTACTTCTGGTCATTCTTTTCTCTTGACTGAAAATGTTCAGTTTAGATTTAGGTGCACTCTGGCAAACAAGAAAAAAAAATAGTTAGAAAACAATAATCAAAAGACAACTAACAACCTACAACAATAAAAGAATGAACACAGACACAATTTGTACATTTCCTTCTCTATTAGGTGCACTTGAAGTAGCATTAGTGACAACCACAGACACATTTACACCACTAGTAGTACCTTGAAGACCTTTTTCCTTATTCTGCAAAACAAGCAAACACTAATGACATGTTCCAATAATAAAAAAGACATAGAATGAATAAACAATTGTACCTTCCTTTTTCCTTTAGGTGCCTTCCCACGTACTTCATTTGCAGCATTACTGACAGACTCATTTACACTAGTACTTTCAAAACATCTTTTCTTTCTCTGAAAAGCAAGAAAACAAAACATTCAGAAAATAATAATTAGTAGACAAATCAATCTGAGATAGACTCATTGTACCTTCCCTTTTCCACTAATGACAGGCTCAGTCTGACCTTCAACACAACTTTCCTTACCCTGACAAGCAAGATTACATAATTATAGTGAGAACATAAAGTGAAGTGCCATAATCAGTATACATAACATAAATCAAATCAAAACATAACAAACAATGAAAAAATTACTTATTATTGCACCTTTCCATTGGTATTAGCTGTTGGCAAATCCAATCCTTGGTTGGTGGATCTACAAAGAGGGTTTTTATGGCAGCCCCTTGAATTGTGATTTGGTTGCTTGCAAATTGAGCACTTCATGACAACTCCTCTTTTGCTTAGTTTGAAACTATCACCAGTTTCTGTTGCCATTTTCTTTTTTCCTTTTGCTTCATCATTTCCTTTTCTCCTATGATACTTTTTGGGCCTCCCAGGTAGCTTTCCAACAATTGGTGGGATCAATGGTAAGTTTTCCACCTCTGGCCACTTATCAGATCCACCTATAGTTCCCATTAAGTGGCTATACACCCTCAAATATGTTTTTGTCCTGTATGCCTCATCCACATAATCCTCTGGGTTATGACCCAAATAGTACATTCCTGATATAGCATGGCACAAGGAATTCCACTGAGCTCCCACTTTCTGCATGAGCAAGTTTTTTCCCCAATGTACACCCTGAACTTTGAACCGGAGTTGCACTCAACCTCAAATTGATCTTCCCCATTCCAATAGCAAACAACTCCATGCTCTTATTTTTAAATTCTTCAAGCATTTTCTCAATTCTAGGACACAGTTGCCCATGGTGCTTTCTCATTTGATCCCTCTTTGAATGAATTCTCTTCATTAGAGTTAGTCTTATCATCTCCAACATCTTCACTATTGGCTGAGATCTAGCCCTCACAATAAGAGGATTAAGGCTTTCAGAGAGATTATTCAGTAGCACATCACATTTTGAATGTGTGTTGAAATGAGACCTAGACCAATTTGCAGGTGGTCTAGCATTTAACCAGTCAAATGCATCTACATCTCTCTGTTTCAGCTCAATCATAGCTTTTTGAAAATCCTGAACTCTTGTGGCTCTTGCAGCTTTCCACAATAAGCTCTTAAGAGCCAAACCCTTATGTGAGGCTTTAAAGTTACTATAGAGATGTTGTACACAAAACCTATGCTCAGCCCCAAGTAAGAGAGTGTCAATGGACTCTACCAAACCCTTTTGCTTGTCTGACATAAAAGTCCAGTAGTATGGGTTGGTTATTTTCAAATCCTCAATCAACAACTCTAGAAACCTGCTCCAAGATTTTTTCTTCTCTTTTTCAACCACTGCATATGCCACTGGATACATGCCATTGTTTCCATCTATGCCCATAGCAGTCAACAAGACTCCCCCAATTGAAGTCTTTAAGTGACACCCATACAAAAACAACACTGGCCTACAACCATCTAACAATCCATCTCTTAAAGCCCCCCAGCAAATGTATAACCTCTTAAAAGAGGTTTGTTCCCCAAGCAATTTACATTTGATTTTAATTGTAGTTCCTGGATTGTTGTTTCTGATTTCAGCAGCATAAGACCATAACAAACCAAATTGTTCATGATGGCCATCATTCCCACTTGTTAACACCTTTTTCTTGGCCCTATAGGGTTGGCTGTTGTTGAAAAGCATCTTGTTTTCACCTTGCATGATTTTCATCATAGAATGAACAGGCCAAGTAGGGTCAGACCATATTTTTTCCCTATAAGTTTCAGCTAACCATTTAGAGTTGGCATGAGATACTCTTTGACTCCTAGGACACTTGTGTGTAGGGTTATACTTTCTAACCTGAACACTGTCCTCACTTGACAAAAGTGCAGCATAAATGAGCCATGGACAAGTAGTGTGTTTACATTTTACTTGGACCTTGGTTTTCTCATTAATACTAAAAGTGACATCTCTGCCATTCTTTATTGCACTCTATCTCACTGCTTTCCTAAACTGAGCCATATCATGGAAAAACATTCCTATTTCAAATTTAGGATCACCCATATCTGTCCTCCCATTGAAAACTACATGACCCTTTTGACCTTTACTACATTTTGTCCTAATTGTGCCATTGGTATACTGAATGTGAGATGTCTCCACCACCAATCCCCCAAACTCCACATCAAAATCAATATTATCATCAAAAAACTGATCATCATTTTGTACATCAGATGTTTCACCTTCACTATCTATCAAAATATCAGATAAATCAGAATCTGTCTTCAAAGATTGCTCATCATCAGAATCACTATTCACAGTATTATCAGGTTCATTCCTAACCCCAACAGAAGGGATTTCATTCATCAAGTGTTCATCATTGTCCCCTATAAATTCCAAACCTTCAGAAACTGATGAAGTTGGGTTTCATGATCAACAAACAAAGCTACCATTCTATCTTCATCCTTCATGAAACACATTTACATGACATCATTATCATTTTCCAACAACACTAAGTCACTGCAGTCATTAACCCCACCCCTACTGTAATATACACCTTTAACTGAATGCAACCCTAATTCAGACCTTATGCTCATTATCTCAAGCAGTGACATTTCATCAGGATGGCAAAAATCTACATGGGAGACTTCACCGTTCAAGTACCTTTTGCAGCCTAAATCCACAAATTGGCCGCAATAGTAAAACCTAATAGTGAAATAATCATCATCTTCACCTGCAAGACAAACAAAAAATGGTGTGAACACTAAAATACCCAACCTCAGACCACAACATTATAAGCAAAAAACAAATCAAAACTCACATAAAACCTCCACTTGAAAAAATATATCACAGAAAGCTTACCATAATCTGGGGCATCCGTATCATTCTTGTCGCGAAATTTCCAAACCATTGCTTCCAAATGTGGAAAAATTAAGCTTCAATTTCAGATTTTCAGTCTTTTCTTTCGATCTGGGGAAGAGCTCGCACAAAAAAGGGCACAATTTTGGGTTACCAATGATTTCAATTCAGCATTTTCATATTTCAAAGAAAATTAAAACCTGAAAGGTCGATTTTACCCTTCAAATTGATGCTCCGATGGTCGGAAGTCGTAATGTGCAACAATTTTCCAAGTTCAGGGGGTAAAGTGTCACCGGAAAAAGATTGGTTGGCAAAGTGTAAAAAAGCGAATAGTTCGGTAGGTAAAGTGTAATTTTCCCAAATTTGAAAAATAAGATCCATGGAATTTATGATAATTTGTTGGAGGATTTGATTGTGCTTATCCATGAGTTTAGTGAATCTAAGCGGGTCTTGAACAAGCTCGGAGGATGATTTTGAAGAGGAGGATGCGTTAGTGCATGATGTTGTAGATTGTGTTAAGGAGGATTCTGAGCAGTTGTGTGATGTTGTCGACCTAAAGTTGCCTCAGTTGTGTGATGTTGTCGACCTAAAGTTGCCTTTAATTTGATGGACTATTCTACTCTTGGAAAATGTAAAGGCGTGGCAAAATCGACATTTTTTCTTGGATCCCAGTTTATTTTGGTTTGGAGACGTCTAGCTCAAGACGTTAATTTA